CTTCGGAAGTTCCTTATCTGATTCCTATATTTCTTTTTTCTTTTTTTTTTCCTGTTGCTGTATTTGTTAAATTTGTTGACCACTGTTTGCCTTTTATTGGATAAAGTTTTATTTTTCTTTTGCAGTTGCATTTTGTTTCTTTTTGCATATTTCTAACACGAAAATCTTCTGTTTTGTTGACGGTTGTGTATCAGGTCAGTGAATCAGATCCTTTAGCTGCCATAGACAAAGAGAAAACAGATGTATTAATGTATTGCACTGGAGGTATTCGCTGTGATGTATACTCTGCAATCCTTAGGTAGACAACATATATTTTCATATGCTTTCTACTCTCTCTTTGCAATTGTGTGCATTCCTGTGTTCTTACCTATATCCCCACCCTACAGGGTTCATAACTACTCTATTACAGGACTTTGCTTCAGGAAAGGAATTTTGATACTAAACAGGACGAGCATACATCTTATAATGAATGAGGAATCTATTGTTTATTTCTTTGTTAAATTGTATAGTTACATGTATAAGCGGACCCAAACCATCAAAAATCATGTGTAACATACAGAAATGTTCCTAAAGGTCCAATGTGAATGAGATGATACTTAAAATAAATAAGAACTAAGAAGAGAGCAAAGATTTAGTCTAACTTAGAAGAGAGCAAAGAACAATAGTCACCACGAGTTTTACAGGTCAATATTGTAGGGGAACATCATATTAAGAATGTTTTTCCTATCACTCTCCATTTACATAATGATGATTATGTGCCATGTGCCCATATCTTCTCTGCTTCACAAGTAATTACTTATTCCACATATAACTAATGAGATTAGGAAGAGAAGAAAATTCAAGTTTTTTAGTTTTTGGAAATAATAGAATCGAATTGTGTTATTGGTATTCCGCTTTTGTCTCTGTATTTATATTAAGTAAAATGTGGGCCACACATGCCCACTCTTTACCCTTCACATGGAGGATCGAATAGATCATTACCTTAAGGATACCTTGTCGAATTATTACTTCTCTAAAAGCTTAGGCTGTTGAGAGCAGACTATGAAAATCATTTGACGAACTTAGAGGTCTTTTATTTATTTTGCAGAGGACGAGGTTTCAAAAGATTATATACATTGATGGGAGGGATTTCTCATTATCTCAAGAGTGAAGGTTCTGCTGGATGGGTTGGAAATCTCTTTGTTTTTGATGCTCGTCTTGCTCTTCCTCCTCCTGTATTCAAGCCTGAAGTTAAAACTGAAGCTAGCAAAACACAAGCTTTCCTGGATAACTCATTTGCCAAATGCTATATATGTGGTTCAAAAGTGTCGGAATTGAGACATCGTAATTGTGCAAACCTTGATTGTAACCTCCTTTTCCTGTAAGTTCCATTTCTTCATTGCTCAAGGATAATCTAAAGAATTATGATAATTTTTTATCTCTTGACAAATTCAGAATTAGAAAGATTTGTTTGATGAACCTTTTCTGTTAATGATCAGCGTGGTTAAAAGGTGTCCATAAATACTTTATTTTGTAAAATATGTTTGCAAGCTTACCTTTTAATGTATTGTCATTTGATGAATTGGTGTCTTTTGTTGATGCAATAATTGTTCTTCATCAAGTGCGAGTAAAATTTCTTTTACAATTGGTTCAAGATAGGTGAATGAAGGTGCAAGTTGAATTAAAAACACACATTGTACAGGCATTGAATCTAGAGGTAGTTTACAGTATTGGGAAGCGGAAATCCAATGGATCATTCTCAGCATGCAAACTGAAAAATCCATTGTCAAATCATCTTGCAATGTGATAACCAAAGTGGAGTGAGGTAATTGTCCTGAATGCTGATAGGTCTGAGGAGAAGAAAAACATATGTTATAGACGTTAGCATGATTCCAGCTTATCAGAAGAATTTCATGCATCTGCATAGTGTTGTTCTTAGGTGTTTTTCTTCAAACCCGAAGTTTGTTGTATCTGCCTGCATATACGTCATTAGCTGTTTACCATACTGCACTTGGTGTTTCAGATGCTGCATGGCCTGTGTGAACCAGTCAAGAGGATGCTGCTGTTTGAAATGCACATCTGCCGCTAGACTTAGACCAGTACTGCCTGGGCATCAAAGATACCAAAAATGGCATCATTATAGAGAAGTGGAGTTGGAAAGAAGATGAAGACTTGATCGCCCTCTAGCTCACAGAAATTTTCAACTTGGTTCTTCTTCAGCGATGCAATACCAACCGTTTTTTATTGTGGAGATTTGTTCTGGAGTACAAAATCATGTCAAAGCATGTCTGGCAGAGTGAGAGAGCTGTTGGTTGATTAGAAGACCCACAGCATGGCATTTTGTACAAAAAAAATTCCAATACTAGCGCTTTTGTTCTCAACCACCTGTTCTTGTAAATGATTAGAATTTTGTTTTTCTGGCTTTGAGCTATGAAAATGAGTTTAGCTGGATGTAAACAAGTACTGCAGTCACTGAATAATGAAAGTTTTACCTTTTCTGAAAATCCAATGGGATGATCACCATGGATATCTAACTATTCTAAAAATTGCTTTCAAATAAGTTGAAGAGATGGATTATATTCTTTTGACCAGTCTAGTGTCTTAGAATAGTTCAGGCCACTTGAGTTCAATGGTGGAATGGTACTGCCAACTCAAGCCTCAGAGCCTGTTGAATTTTCTTGTAGCTTGTATGGAAACAGTGGAAGTTGAATGATATGTTATCAAGCATACATACATATCAAGTGCTTTTGTATCATATGCATGGATAATTTTGTTCATTGGTCTCTTCCAAGCATGTTACTTTTAAGGAAACATAATTAAACGTTGAAGCCGTGGTTTTTTTTTTCTTTTTTCTTTTTTTTTTTTGTCTTTTGGGTTGAAATACAAGCCAGAAGATGTTTGTATATGCTATACTTTTTTACTTCTAGTAGATGTAATTTTGGCCTATAACTTACAAGCCAAGAAGATAAAATAGCGGTCAGTACCCTACAACTCCCCCAAAAAGAAAACACAAATTTTTATGGATTAATCTTTCTCACATTGACAGTATAGTATATACACTGTTAGCGTTGGATGAATAACAACTATGTAAAATTTAAATTTAAAATTTAACTTTTACACACATGTTATGAATCAAACGGTAATAGTGTATATACTGTCAGTATATATAAGATTTACTCAATTTTTATTTGATGAGGAAAAAATTGTGAGAAACCCAATTTGTAATAAGTGAAACATGGAGAATAATCAAAAGTCTCTCTCTCTTCATTGAGAGCCTTTCTCTCTCTTCATTGAGAGCTGCTCTCCCTTTTGGTGGGAGCGTCTAAAAGTTCTAACCTTTTCAAACTTTCAAACTTCAAATCCCAAAACTTCAAACTTCTAAACTTCAATGTCCAAAACAAAACATAAATCTAAACCAACCTCATATTCCTAATTAATACGCAGCGAGTTGGAATAGGCAAGAACTCAATACTACGAGATTGAGGATACTTCTGGGTCCCCAGTGTTGCAACTGGCTCAAAAGAAGATAAAGACCACAAGAGGGGTCCAGATGTGCATTTGGCTTCTGATGAGTTGTGTAAGCTTTAGTTTTATAGGCTCTAACAGGATGGATCCGTCTTACCTTGCTTTTTAGATTTTCATGTGCATTAAGCATTCTGCCTTTTCTTTTTACTTTGTTTCACTTCACTGTTAGGCTCTGGTAGTTTTGTTTTTCTGCTTTTGTATACAGCTCCAGTTAGAGACTTAGTGCTTGTCGGATTTGGTTGGTGGAATACCCAAGGATCTCTGGGTGGAGTCATGGCTGAGGACTTAGCTGAAATTTTAGGGAAGTTTGCGCTTTCCAGCAAGGAACTAGGAGGGGCTGACTTGGACAGAACTGAAATTAACTTAGGGGTAAAAGAATGTCAGTTGAGCCTTCTGGGGAAATTTAAAGGAGAAAAAATAGTCAACTACACTGGTGTGAAGAGCTTTGTTACATCAACTTGGAGTTATCCAAAAGACCTCAAAGTTGTTGAACTATGCCCCAATTTCTTTCAGTTCTTTATTCGGGGGGAGCAGGAAAAGGAAAGGATAGTAGAGGGGGGCCATGGATTATGGATAGTCAGATTCTAGTCTTGAACAGGTGGTTTGAAGGTATTGAAGAGGATGAAAGTGCTTTTAAAAAGGCCTCCCTATGGGTTCAAGTCTGGAATCTTTCGATACATTAGATGTCTAAGGAGGTAGGAAGAAAAATTGGAGTAGTATTCAATGGTGTGAAAGAGGTAATCATCCCTCAGACGGGTAGCAAAGAAGGAAGGCATATTAAGCTGCTGGTGGTAGCTAATATATCCCAACCCTTACTAAGGGGATCAATAGTTAAGGTGGAAGGTTCTACAAAATGGGTAAGCTTCAAGTACAAGAGGTGTCCAGATTTCTGTTACAATTGTGGAATTGTAGGGCATAGTGAGAGAAACTGCAAGAGACTGGTCCTTGTAGATAGAGGGCATTTAGAAAATCAGTATGGTACGTGGATGAGAGCTAGAAATGATAATAGAAGAAACTCACCTCAAAAAGAACAACTGGTCAGGAGAGCACCCAGTGATAAGCATCACTGGAGGTTACATAATGGGAACTGGGTTGAAGTGGTAAAACAAAAACAACTGGACCCTGGTCAGGGCAGCAGTGTACCATATATAAATCAAGGGGGTGCATTAAGCAATGCAGTGGAGTTACAGAATCAGGTTCTCAGAAAAGAGAAAGAGGAAAGTGTTATGAATAGCAATCCAAGTTCAGCCTCGAAGGCTATGGTAAATAGTCAGGTAAAGGAAGCAACCATTGTAGCATCTCTAGACAAGCTGAACATGGAGTCTGAGAAGGCAGAGGGAAGGGCTTTGAGGGAGCTCTCTGCCAGGGAAGAGGCCCCCGCCAAGTTGGAAATGAAGGAGTACTCCCAAGAAGTGAGCCAGACAGATGTAGAGATTAGTGAGCAGGAATTGGCTAAAGTAATAGAGAACTAGGAGGAAGGAGGAACAACTGAGAATATGCCAGGTGAGGTAACTTTTATGGACCTAATGGTTGAGGACAAAAAGAAGGAAGCTGTTACAAGACAAAATAGGAGATTGAAGAAACAACTTAGATCTCCTACTAAGAGAAGAACACCTCTGAAGGAGATTTGCACCAATACCAAAGACTCAGGAGTACAAGGTAAAAGGAAGTTTCAATTATGTGATGAGGAAATGGAAGATGCAGAAGGCAAGGAGATAGGGGGTAAAAGAAACAAAGGGTGTCTTGAGGTTTGCTATAATGTTCAGGCACAAGAGGGGGATGGGACTAGCCTACTCTGGGCCCCCAAACCTCAATGAAGATTCTGGTGTGGAATTGCCAAGGTGTTGGGACTTGGAAGCATCAGGACAATTGCCCATTTGAGGGAGGTTTCCAACCTCTTCTCCCTAAGTATGCTGTTCTTGAGCGAAATTAAAAATAGGAGTAGATATATGGAGCGAGTGAGAGAGAAGTTGAATTTCGAGAGTAGTTGTGTTGTGGAATCAATGAATAGATCTAGGGGCATGGCTCTGATGTGAAAAGATGAAGTAAAAATTAAAGAGATAATTAAAATGGCCTTTACTATAGAAGCTCATGTGGAAGACAGGGAGACAAAGACAACATGGTGGTTCATTGGTATATACGCAAGCTGTGACAATCTGATCAGGAAGAGTTAGTGGAAGGTTGTGAAAGATAGGAAAAAATTATGGGGAGAACAATGGATAATAGCCGGGGACTTTAATGACATTCTGTCAAATGAGGAGAAGTGGGGAGGTAGATGGAGAGAAGAGAAGAGTTTCACAGATTTTAACAACTTTATAAATGATAACCAATTGATTGACATTGGTTTTGAGGGGAACCTCTGGACGTGGAGTAACAATTGGGAGGATGTAGGAGAAGTCAGAGAAAGACTAAACAGAGGCCTGTGTAGTATAGACTGGTCACTTGTTTTTGATAAAGCCAAATGCAAACATGTTGACACATTTGCATCTAACCATAGCATGTTAATGATAGATACTAGGAAGAGGAAAAGAAGATTTTATTTTGACAAAAGATGGCTAAAAAGAGAAGGGATCCAGGATGTGATCAGAAATGCATGGGAAAAAGATTGTGAGGGATCAAGAATGTTTAGGGTCAAATGCAAAATCAGAAACTGCAGAATTGAGTTATTAAAGTGGAAAAATAACTCCAACTGTAATGCTAAAAAGAAGATCATTCAAATCAAAAGTCAGTTGGAGAAGCTTCAGTCTAGCACTCATTATGGCACCAGGAAAGAGACAGTGAGTCTGAAAGAGCAGTTGAAAGAGGCTTACAAGAAGAAGGAACTGTATTGGCACCAAAAAGCTAGACTAAACTGGATAAAGAAGGGGGATAAGAATACTAAATTCTTTCATGCTCAAGTCAAAGGAAGGAGGAGGAGAAACAGAATGTTGAATCTGCAAAGGGAAGATGGATCTTGGACTGAGAATGAGCAAGAGTTAGGGGAGGAAGTGGCAAATTACTACAAGCAGCTCTTCACTAGTAATTGGAATGGTAGCCCAGAGGAGATCCTTAGAGGTATTCCATCCACCATTACGGCTAGCATGAATGATCAACTGGCTAGAGGTGTTGATGAAGAAGAAATCAGAACAACAATTTTCTCTATGTCTCCTGATACAGCTCCTGGGATGGATGGTATGACCCCCATTTTTTTTCAGAAATTTTGGTTTACTATTAAACATGAGGTAGTCCAGGCTATCCAGAACTTTTTTCATTCCAATTCCATGCCTAGAACCCTGAATCATACCTTAATATCCCTCATCCCAAAAATTAAAGATCCTGTCAATCTGAAGCATTATAGGCCTATTAGCTTGTGTAATGTGCTTTATAAAGTGATATCCAAAATACTGGCTAATAGGCTTAAAGTTATGTTAAATATCTGTATTAGTAAAATCCAATCTGCTTTCATTCCTGGTAGACAGATCCTAGACAATGTTATCTTAGCTCATGAATACATGCATTTCCTGAAAAATAAAAGGCAAGGAAAAGAGGGATATATGGCTGTTAAGCTAGATATGTCTAAAACTTAAGATAGAGTGGAATGGCATTTTTTGAGGGCCATGATGCAAAAAATGGGTTTTAGTAGCAGGTGGATTAGCTGGATTATGAAATGTGTTGAATCAGTCTCTTATTCTTTCAATATTAATCGTGAGGCTAAGGAATATATTGTACCAGAAAGAGAAATAAGACAGGGTGATCCTCTCTCACCCTATCTCTTCCTATGTGTTTAGAAGGCTTCTCAAATCTGCTGAAAAGAGCTGAAGAGGAAAAGAAGATTTATGGACTCAAAATCAGTAGAAATGGGCCTAGACTAACACATTTATTTTTTGCAGATGACTCATTAATTTTCTGTAAAGCAAACACCAAACAAACTGAGGAGTTGAGGAGGATCCTGGTGGCATATGAAAAGAGCTCTGGACAGTTGATCAATCTGGAAAAGTCTTCTGTCTTCTTCAGCAAAAATATGGATCATGGTAAAAAGCTAGAAGTATGCTGCAGACTGGGGAATATCCAGATGGTCAACCAAGGCAAATACCTGGGGCTACCAATGGTGATAACAAGGACAAAGGACCAAATCTTTGGATTCATCAGAGACAACATTAAAAAGAATTTTGGAAGCTGGAAGCAGAGATTGCTAAGTCAAGCAGGGAAGGAGGTCTTGTTAAAAGCAATGACTATAGCAATGCCAACTTATACTATGTCATGCTTTAAACTACCTCTGAAACTGTGCAAAGAGATCAGTGCACTAATGGCAAGCTACTGGTGGGGAGACACTAATGGAAAGGAGAAGATGCATCAATGCTCCTGGAAGAGAATATCCCAAAACAAGAACCAGGGAGGACTTGGGTTCAAAGACCTGGTCAATTTTAACAGAGCCTTGCTTGGTAAGCAAATTTGGAGATTACTTGTAAATCCAAACTTGCTTATCTCCAAGGTTCTGAAAGCAAAATACTACCCTACTGGCTCCTTCTTTAATTGCAAGTGTCCACAGAATGCTTCATGGATCTGGCAGAGCCTAATGGGAGCTAAACAGTTTGTTGAGGAGGGCACCTGGAGGAAAATTGGAAATGGTTGTAAGACAGATATCTGGGAGGACAAGTGGATAATTGGAAACAAAGAAGGAAGGCCCTCAACACCCAAACCTCCAGAATGCAAAGTGCAGAAAGTTCAAGACTTAATCATTCAGAAGAGGTGGAATAGAGTGGAAGTGTTCAGAACGTTTAATAGTGAGGATGCAGAAAGAATCCTAAGCATTCCTATCAGCTTAGCAGGAAAGGAGGACAATAATTTCTGGATACACTCTCCTACAGGGCAGTACAAAGTGAGTACAAGATACAAGGTACGTATGAAAGAGAAGGAAACACAAGAAAGGGTTGGCTATAAGGGTGCTGGTCCTAGTACACATAATGCAGCAAAACAGATGTGGTCTTGCCTATGGAAACTAAACATCAAACAGAAACTGAAGACCTTCATGTGGAAATGCATCAATAATTCTCTCTCAGTCAAGGAAGTAATCTTTAGTAGGACTAAGAAAGAAGATCCCATCTATAAAGCATGTGGTGAAGGGGTAGAGACGGTGAAACATATGTTGTTGAACTGTAGACAGGCTAAGCAGGTATGGCATATAGCACCAATACAATGGGGGGTGCTAAGGATAAACAAGGCTGTTTTAAGGCCTGGTGGACTGAAATTACAAGAGCTAAATCTAGGCAGGATGGTGAAGAACACCTTGGTCTAACAGTTAACATCTTGTGGCAAGTATGGAAAAGCAGAAATGAGTGGGAATTCAACAACAAACAAAGGCATGCAATGACAACAATAAAAAAAGCTCAAGAAGAATGGATGGAGTTCTGCGAAGCCTACAAACAGAAGGAGCAAGTGAGCACAGCAGAAACAACTGCTAACCAAATGCCAAGGATAGAAGAAGAGAATGCAGAGGTGATCCAAGTTAAGATTGCTGCACTAAGCAAACCGAACAGTAAAGAGGTTGGCATAGGTGTGACTACTATGACTGAAGGAAATGTTATTGTTGCAGCTTGGGCTATACATGAAAAAAGCTACAATTGTCCACAATTGGACGAGGCTGAGGCTATCAAGATAGTTATGAGTAAATTAGTTGTCAAAGGCTGGAGAAAAGTCAACATACAGAGCTGCAACAAACACCTACATCAGCAAATTAGTGCGACTAATGCATCAAATATCAAACTGCATACTCTAGTTGAGGATATTCTTAGCTTGAAAGCTTTGTTTCAAATGTGCTCTTTTGGTGTTATATCTAAAAATAATAATCATGTTAATACTACAGTTGGTGAGTATGCCTTAGGCATCATACATGATGAGGAATGGATCAATCCTCTGTGCTATTGAGCACTTTTTGTATAGAAAGAGGGGCCTTTGCTCCAAGTGTAAAGATTAGTTGATGATCAATATATTACTAATATCATTTCGAAAAAAAAAACATGGAGAATAATGACATTACCGGTAAACATTTGGGACCAAAAGTTAAAAACTTAACCTTGTTTTATAGGGTACCAAATTCAGATTATAAAGTATGTCAAGGACTACTGTAACAATTTATCCCAACTTGAACGCGAGAAAGAACAGGAAAATTTTCTCTTAGGATATAGAAACAGCACGTATAAACCCCTTCTTGGAGTACAACTTTTGGAGCGGGATGTACATTTGACAGCCAACTATCTCCTCTATAAACGCCGTTCCGGTAGCGAATCAATTGCTTCGCAATCCCAGAACCATTGTGCGACTGTGAGAGAGAGAGATGTCGGACGCATACGAGAGAGTGAAAGGAGGGAGGCTAACATTCAAGGGAGGAGTTCTCGCCACGCGAAGCAAGGATATAGATAAGAAGAAGAAAAAGAAGAAGAACAAGTCCTCGAACGAAGACGACCTCCTGGCCAAGGATCCAAATCAAATCAACGACCCGTCAGCTACGGGTTCGGGTTCGGGTGCGGGAGAGATTTACACCATCGACGCGGCGAAGAAGATGAAGTACGATGAATTGTTCCCAGTTGAAGCTAAGAAGTTCGGGTACGACCCGACTGCTAAATCCAAATCCGTTGAAGAAGCCCTTGATGACCGCACCAAGAAAAAAGCTGACCGTTACTGTAAATAGTTGAATTATTACTACAACATTTAAACCCTAGTTCCTATTTGATTATATTTTGGGTTTCTTTTTTTCTTGTATTTTTTTTTTAATCTACCTCCATACATAGAGCTGTTAATGAATTGAAGACTAGTATCTACTTGATTTTCCTGTTTAGTGCTCCAACTTGAGTAGTAACTGTGTGTGTATTCAATTTGCCAAAATTGGATTAGGAGCCAAAAACACATTAGAGCTGACAGAAGAATTTTGTCAATTAATTGAAGGGTGACTCCCACCATACAACTTTTGGAGCTTAATGCCTATATGATGAGGTTTGTTGGTGATAATCAACCAGTTTACCAGTAATCACCACATGAACAAGAGCCATCCCTGAAATGGTGAAACCTGTTTGAATCTCTGACGGTAATTTCCCGCCCAACAATCTTTGAGATTACCTTGATTGCAGCATGACAATCCGGGCATGCTCGCAAATTCTTCATTATCAGTATTGGTGATCCCTCTGGTGTACTTATTAATGCGAAGGCTATTGCTAACCTTTCACTGTGGTATTTAAGGGATTCTATTTTGATTTCATCGGCCTCATCATGAAGTGCAACACTTGTGTCTGGTTTATAACCTTCCTCTTCCATTCGCTTCCACAATTCATTGATCTTTTCCCGAGTCCCTTTAATTTTTGGATGAATCATGTCATTTGCAGTGAACATGTGAACTTTGTGCTCAATTTCAACCCAGCTATATGCAGTCACTTTCTTTACTCCTCGTTGCCTCATAGCCTTCTTTACAGTGGCTACATTTTCCCAATCTCCTGCTTCCGCATAGATGTTGGACATTGAGACATAGGCACCACCATCTCTAAGAATGCTTAAATTGAAGAGTTGTTCAGCAGCCCTTTCTGCGAGGTCTTTATTCTTATGGATCCTGCATGAGTTTAGAATTGATGACCATGTGATCTCATCTGGCTCAAATGGCATGTCAGCAATAACTTTCTCTGCTTCACTAAACCTTCCTCTTCTACACAAGACGTGAACCAGAGATGCGTAGTGTTCTTTTCTTGGCACAAGATTGTAGGTTTCTGTCATGGAGTTGAAATACCTCAACGCTTCCTCAACAAGTCCATTGTGGCTGCAAGCTGTCAAGACACTGAGAAAGCTGACTGAGTTGGGTGGAAAACCGCATTGAATCATTTCCCTGAAGGACCTAAAAGTCCCTTCACCATCCCCATTCTGAGCATGAGCCGAGATCAAAGCATTCCAAGAGACTGTGTTCCTCACAGGCATCTCTTGAAATATCCGAATTGCATCTTTCATGGATCCGCATTTGGCATACATATCAAGAAGTCCACTGCCACAGAAGACATTTGACATGAACCCCAACCTAGTTATACATGTATGTAATTGTTTCCCAAGTGAAAGTGAAGCCAAATTTGCAGAGGCTCTTAACGTGCTTGCAAAAGTTGCCTGGTCACCACAAAAACTATCTCTACGCATGTCTTTGAACAGCTTAAGGGCTTCTTCATATAATCCTTTCTGAACATTAGCTGAGATGATAGCTGTCCAAGGAACGTGGCTTCTGCAAGCCAGATTTCCAAACAAAATATTGGCATCCTGAAATCTATCACATTTCGCATACATGTCAACAAGGGCATTGCCCACTAAAGTTTCTGAGATTGCTGTTGTAACTAAGGTCTGTGCATGAATTTGCTTTCCCATTTCCAGGTCGAGTGAATATGCTGCCACACTTAACATTGTTGCAAAAGGAAATTGCCTTCTATCAAACCTCGTGAACTGTAATTTTTGGAATAGATTGATTGATTCTTTGTATTGTTGATCATTTGCATACCCCGTGATAAGTATGTTGTAAGAAACACCATCCAACTCAGGCATCTCATAAAACAATTTCTCAACATCATCTGTACAATCATGCTTGGAGTAAAAATCCAGCAATGCATTGGCAACGAAAACATCCCGAACTAAGTTGCTCTTAATGGCTAGCACATGAACTTGTTGACCAAGAGCAACACCATCCAACCCTACACTGGCACACAAAACAGCCGCAAGGGTGAAATCTGAAGGCTTCAAGCCCAAATCCCGCATTTGGAAGAAGAGCTTTATTGCATAGTCATTCATCCCGCATTTTGTGTACCCAGTTACCATTGCATTGAAAGTCACGGAATCTCTCTCCAACATCCCACTGAACAGAAATAATGCAGAGTCAAGGCAACGACACTTGCAATAAGAATCCACTAAACTGTTGCCAACTCTTAGTTCTGAATCAAATCCCATCTTTATTACATGTCCATGAACCTGAACCACCTCTTTCAGGGCCTCAGAATCATCAGAACAACCTGATAACAAAGTTGTAAAAGTCACTTCATCAGGCCTCTCTGCGCCTACATTGCACATATCCGCGTAAAGGCGAAAAGCAGATTTAAACTGGTTTTTCTGCGAGTACGCCCCTATCATTATAGTCCAAGACACAGCAGTCCGATCAACCATATTATCAAATAACTGCATTGCACTGTTCAAGTTTCCTGATTTCACGTAACCCGAAAGCATCGTGTTAATTGAGTATGTATTTTTGTTAGGCATGTGGTCGAACAATTGGCGGGCTTCGGATACTCTGCTTTTGTTAACTAGTCTTTCAAGCTGATAATTAGAGCGACATGCAGCCGGGTCGAAACCAGTTTTAATTCTCTGGGCATCTATTACGACGTCGTTAACAACAGTTTGGATTGTTGAGGCGACTCTTGGTAAATCTAATGGAGAGGAAGAAGAAGTTGTGTGGGTTTGGAGTAATTTTCTGGCTTGATTAATACTACTGCTAAAACACACAGCCATGGTGAAAAGAGCCGTTAGATGGTGGCGCTTTTATTCATTTTGGCGCCTTTAAAGGAAAAAGTCCTGCTGCTTTGAAAAAAGAGTAATAAGTGAATACAAAGATGACAAGAAAGATTTTATTTTTAAAGCTGAGAACTAATTGCTAGTTAAAATCATGTTTTCTATTTTTTAAGAAAAAGATTTTAAAAAAAATTACCCTATGCTACATTTGACTATGTTGTTTATTGTGAGTTTGTGACCTAAAAAACTTCCATAATGATATCAAGTTGAACCTATAGTAAAGGGAAAATGGTGAACCTACATGTATAGAAGTGAAAAACATCTTTCTTTTTTTTTTTAAAGCAAAATTTAACAGGGTTAAGAACTTATAAAATTGTGAACCACAGATTAAGGTAATTTAAGAAAGTTGTCTGAATTTAGAGAACTGTTCATGGTAATATTTTGTGTCATTAAGCACTTTAGGTTGGGGTACATGTCAAAGTTGCAAAGAAAGAGCATATTACATCAGTGGCGGAGCCAGAAAAAATTTTCAGCGGAGACAAAATTAACCCAAAAAATTTTTGCCTACTTTTTTTCTAGTTTTTTAAGTAAAACAAAAATATTCACCAACAAATTGAAATGAAAAACCTTTTTTTAGCTTATTTTAAATGAAATTTTGTGTCCCACGTATCCTTTTAGAATATTAATTCATAAACCAACTTAGAGAATCATGTAATTCTTTCACTTCCTTCGTAAGAAAACTCTTAGGCACTGTTGAAATTATATCAAAATTCTATGGGTACTATAGGAATTTAAGAGGGCAGTGAAGCCGTGCCTCCAGTGCCCCCACCTTAAATCGGCCGCTGTTTTACATAGAGGTGAGCTTCATTTGCTGAGCTCAGTTTCCAAGTGATTTGGAGCAGAATTGAGCTGCCCCTCTTGGTCTTGTTGCTCCAGCGTCTCATACAAAGGGGAGTTTCTGGTCTCCGGCAGCCACAAAATCATCAATCCACTGAAAATGGACAGCGCCCCGAATATAAGGAAGGCGAGAGCTGGGCTGTATCTGCCCACAGCCACCAGCAGAGGAGCAATGGAGGCCCCTAACACCATGGCTTGTCTTAGCACAGAAACAGCAAAGCTTCTCACATTTGTAGGGAAAAGTTCCAGAGTGTAAACAAACAAGACATTAAATGCAGTTGATGCAGCCATGAATTCTATTGCTTCAAGATCAAATTCTGGCCAGCTTCCTCCTGATTTATCCAGAATTCCTTGTTTCCCACCTGAAAATAGTATGCAAAGAATGCTTGAAAGTCCAGCAATGAAAGCTAATTGCGAAAATATTAGCCGGCGCTTAGCCACGCTCAGGAGCACACCACCAATGAATACTGCTGAAATCTCCATCATTGCATTTGCTGCAACTGCAAAGTATAAATTGAAGTTTAGGTTCTCAACATTGAGTTGAACTCCAAAATAAACAAATCCAATCCCAAAGCCTGTCATCATAACCAAAGCCATCCTTTTGGCAGCCCATTTTGTGTTCCACAGAGTCCTTTCTTGCAAGACTTCTTCCCCTTTACTAGTCTCTTGAGTAGCAACAGATGGTTCTGATATGCACAGATTGGGAGGTATTTTTCTCCCATTGAGCCTTGCATATCTTCTTAATACATCTAGAGCTTCTTTGCTTCTTCCTCGAACGAGAAGCCATCGTGGAGATTCTGATACAAATGGTAGTAGTACAAAAATGGAGTAGACAAGGGGCAGAAATGAGATAATCTTGTATAAACTTCTCCAAGAATTCCTGCTGGGATATGCAATTAGGGGAATTGAAACAAAGCCCACCGCGAAGAAAAAGAAGCCATATTGGCCAGCTTGACCGCGCCATTTGACACCGACAACTTCTGTTGTTAGTACAAGGCTACATATGCCAATGCCTGACCGAGAAAAGCCATTTGCAAACCGGAGGAGTGAATAAAGCCATATATTTGGCGAGAGAGAGGTGAGAAAAATGGTTATCGAAGTTAGGAGGCATGAGATGAGCACAGCTCTTTTCCTTCCCAAGAATGCATCAGCTAGGTATCCATAGACAGAAGCACCTGGATTAAACATCATCAAATTTTGGATTCTGAATAGAGACTGATATATTAAGCTACTTGAGCCAGGAATGCCTACTGCTCTGGATCTTAAGCATCAGAACAAAAAATGACGTAGCGCTGGGCTGATGCATCATGCATCAACTTTTTTTGTACAGAAAATCACACATACGAAATTCTTGTCAAGGAATTCGAAAGGAAATGAGGAAGCAGTAAATAATCAGAGAGCAGTAAAGGTGGAAAACAGGGTATAGAGGTGCGCAAAAAAGCAAAGCATGAAAGCAAAAATTGCCAACTTTAAGTAACTTTAACGTCCATTTGGAACAGAAATGACTTAAATAGCATAAGATTGGAATATGCTGCTTATGATTCATGGCACAAGGAATAATACAACGTCATGAGCAGAGAACACAATGTACAACAGAATGAAAGTGAATTTGGAAGATTTACCAACGAGAGATCCAAGAAAGTAGAATGAAGCTGGCATCGCAGCAAGAAATTTACGGTCACAAATCAATCCCCACTCAGCAATGGTTGAACTTGTATTACCACCCACCCATTCCCAGGTTCCAGGCTTCAATCCGCAAACTGAAGCAGCATCTCCAGAACTGATATTTGTGAGTCTACAAGATGATGATGATGATGAGCTAATGCATCTCCATCCATCTGGCTGAGCATCAGCGAAAATAGTGACTAAAGTACTCTGGGCATCAAAAATCCATGCCAATGATACCAAGAACACGTGCAACAACTGTGAAAATCCAAATGATCCCACATATTCTTCTATCACTTGATCAACTGTTAATTCCAACTTTTCAGAACCAAGACTTTTACTCGAACAAAACCCTTTCTCTGCACTGCTTAGCTCTAAAAGTTCATTTTTCTCTTCTTCCATCTTGCTAACAAATTAACGACGAATGACACCAGCCCACCTCGGATTGTCGATTGCTGGTTTTAGCAGAAACATAAGAGTTGCTACTTATGCTACTGCTGAAGCTTAGGCCATCGGCAATGGAATTAAACTGCCATTGGATTTCAACCTATCACAGACCTTATCATCACAGGGACTGACTCTCAAACTACTTTTTGTGTCTTCTTACCAAGAATTGTCCCCTTACTAATGTTTTATAGCCCCTTATCTTTGATTGCAGGGAACTATTAGGAGAATTCCAAGAAGTGAAGGTGCAACACATGCTGCGTGAGAGCAACGTATCCGCAGATGCTTCGGCAAAAGAGGGTGCACGACATATGTCTGATCTAGTGTTTTATGACTCGATCCCTCCTTAATTGAAGGAGCCAGCCCCCAGAAAAATCGTATCCAATTCTAGTTCCACCCCGTAAAAAGAATGACTTCACCAAAATCTTTTCTTGTGCAAATTTTTTATTTTTCTGTGAGTAGATTTTTCGAATTTATATGAAGAAGATGATTGATTGCGTGCAAAATTGTCACGTCACACAAGTGAAGGTGGTGGATTACCACACAATGCCTTTTTACTTAGTGAAGTGTTATTTGACGTGTTAAGCAACTAGTGAAAAAAAAAGGAGGCAAAAGCTAACTCTTTGATTCATTGATTTGCTCAAGGTGGTAATCTGAGCAAGACAATAAAGATTTTCTCCACAATTTACATCAGTCAGTGAAAAGATGCCGATTGATTTCAATGAATTGCTTCAAGAATGTTGGTATGCACAAAATCACATACCTTATTGCCAAACTTGCTATTACTATTTAACTTTATGCGTCTTTTGTTACAAAAAACAAAAGGGAAAAAAAACCCCTTATTGCCACACTTTTTTATGAGCACCAAATAAGCCTGAACCTTTTTTCAATTTATTTTCTCTACCTAAATAAATTTTAAATCCTAAGGACTAAAGCTAAAAACTGCAAATTTTTTGAGGTCATAACAAAAATTTGGGCAAATTACACTTTACCCCCTTGTGGTTTAGTGTTTGTTTATAAAACTCCTATATAGTTTTAAAAGCTATATATAATCCTTTCATAGTTTGAATTAAAGTGTGAAAGTAACGGAATTTGTAATTTATAACGGTATCAACTAAAATGTCAAAAATACACATATGTAAAGTTGAAAATTATTTATTAACCACAGGGAGGGTTATGTATATATATTGAAAAACGTGTTTATGATGCAAGCAAATTAATTTTTTTTGGCAAATGATGTGATATCCAAACAAATTCAATGTTATCAATTGGAGTACGATGCAAAGTGAGAGTAGGGTATAAATTTAAGGGGCACAAAATGAAATTAGTATTTTTGGCAAATAAAGAAGCACGAACTTATGAAGCTTATTGGTATTTCCAGAAAAATAAAAATCTTCTAATTGTCGTCGGACAAGAAACAATTACCGCCCTCGTTCCTCCGTCCGGTAGCTTTTACTTTTCCTCTTACGCTCACTACTACACTACCACGACCTTTCCTTCTCTTAGTTAGCATTGACGGGTCCTCTGTTCTCTGTAACCAGTATTGAAGGTAACTTGTCCTAGTTAATTTGATCGTAACTCTACGTTATATACTAGAATAATTGATAAATGTTCTGTCTTGAGCTTTTGTGGATGGTTATGTGGGGCTATTCTTGATGCATACTAAGTATTTGAATAAATGCTGCAGCTAACTAGTATGATTTGCTTGTATTGCTGTCGTCGGATTACTCTTTTTTGTTAAAAATGCTTCATTTCTTGGCTTGCTGCATGCCTCCCTCAAGTCCCATTACCTCCACCATCCTGCAACATATTGATAAAAACTGACGCAGCTACTTTCACTTTCTTCAGTTTCTTTTCTTTACATATTATAAACCAGTCAAAATTTTAGCGGTTGCACTGTTAATTCTCATAGGATTAATGAATATAGACAAATCATTTGACAGAGGCTGTTTTTGGATGAAGGACGAGGGTCTAGCGCTGTTCTTTTGGTATCGGATGAATGTGGTGGAATAAGGTTGTGAAACTTAGTGGTTATAGTGTCCGGCATTACTCGAGGTCCAAAAAGGTCCAGCCTCCACGGGTGATACGAGTAACGAACAATGTAGCCCATCTGGGCCGCCCAAGAAAGGGACCAAAACCTCGCCAGCTCCTATCTCTGCCCCCATTTCCGGGTCACCCTTTGCCTGGAAGGAACTCGTCCACTGGTCACGTCACTGCCATTAGCTGGCTCAAGTATTATTTTGATGACATACCTGGCGATGTCGTTCAATCTCACTTCAACAAGGGCCTTGTCAGTATAACGCTCTCATGTTCACTTTTTCCTTTTTTTTTATTATTATTGTTTAATTTTCCCCTCTTGTTCACCTTTTTCATTTGTCACTTGATACCTTTACTTTAAATTGTTCTCTTGCAGGTGCAGATGGAAAGCCTTGATTCCAGTATGTCCTCGAAGAGTCAGGGAATGCAAACAAAATCGACGAGGAAGGTACTGCTGTTCATATGATCTACTCACCTGTCAGCCTTAACTCATACATTTAGAGGCAGAAAATTCAAGCCATTCATGCTCTCCAGCTTTCTTTTTTGTTTCCTCAGCTTATTGCTATTTTTCATTAATTTTCTCTAAGTTTTCAGTTTAGTTTGAGTGTCATCTCATTGTATAATGATTCATAGATTAATCACAATGAGGCCATGGAGCCGGGGGCAAGAGTGTCTGTACCTGTTTCTGTTGCTGAAGCTAAGATTTCCAAGAGGTTTGACATCATACCAAGTGGGACTCTATACCCAAATGCAGATGAGATAGAGTATTTGCAAAGACTTGTAAAATACAAGGCATATTCATCTATTCATCTACTGATGTATTTGTCTATTTCTATTTGAGTTAAGTGCATGGATTAGATATTTGTTGATTATAGTGTATGAAAATAAATGCAACTACGTTTTTTGATGGTTGAATTCCTTTGAACCCAGTGACCATGAAGAAAATTTAAAATCAAGGGCTTTATGGATCCCGTCTTGTGCATTACCCTGCATGCTTTTGATTTTGTTCTGCATTGGTGGAATATTGGCGCTATGGTTTGAAAACTCTAGATCTTTTGTGCATTCTAAATAACTGGCTGAACTAATATCTGCCGGAAAATATGCCAGGACTCTGCTATACTTGTGCTGAATAAGCCTCCTAAGCTGCCAGTGAAGGTTAGGATCTCCTATGCTCTTTGCGGTGTTAAAGTGCTGTCCTTGATTCATTTCCTATTCTTCCTATTCTAATATACATGGTTTGGCAATAGGGTAACCTGCCAATTCACAACAGCATGGATGCGTTGGCTGCCGCTGCATTGTCATATGATTATGATGAAGGCCCTAAATTGGTAGGTTAAATGTTGGCTGATTGCTGTGAGTTCTCTTGACCAACTTGACAATTCCTTATATGTCTTATTAAGTCTTTTGTTTTTGCAAATGATGGTGGTTCAAAAGTTAAATCATGACAAGTGACAAAAATCATTAATGTTACACATGCTTGCTTGTTAGCCTTCCAAGCTCTTGATAGGTCATCTACTTGAAATGATGGATTTATTCATCACGAACGGTATAACTGTTATTGCTAGAATATGCCTTTATAGGGTCTAGTAAATAAATTCAAGTTGGTATTACCTTGGTCTTCAGGATGATGAATCTTTAAATTAAAACCTATTGCTCAATATTATCAAATAGCAATCTTTCTTTCATTTTCAGAAGGAAAAGCTTTTTCATTTGCATGTTTAGGTGCATCGTCTTGACAGAGAAAGCAGCGGCCTCCTCCTGATGGGCAGAACAAAGGAAAGCATTTCCTATCTCCATTTATTGTTCAGTGACATAAATAAGGCCAAATCCTTGTCTAAGGTAGTCTAAGAGCTACTTGTTATGGCTTGATAGATGTTAAATCATTCCTTATCTTTGCTTCTAGCTTTCTGTACCTATTTTTTGCAAATTTCTCCCCCATGTATTCAAGGGGTTGCACTGTTACTCATGAAAGCGTGCTTCTTGAGTCGCATAGGGTCTCATGAACTGGTTTTACTATTCTTGCATCTTGATACATTAAACATTCGACCTTTAGGGTTGGGGTGATGCTTGTGAGTCAACATATCAACGGTATTGGGCACTAGTCATAGGTTCCCCTAAAGAGAAGGAAGGTCTAATTCATGCACCTATTACAAAGGTTCTCTCTCTCTCTCTCTCTCTCTCTCAAGTCTCAATTATCTTCTACAGAATATCTGTGTATTAGACAAACTTGGTGATGCTTTTGCTTTCTTTCTTCACTGCAGGTAATGCTTGATGATGGGAAGACTGAAAGGGTTATAGTGGCGAATCGTTCAGGCCTTGAAGCTTTCCAAGAGGCCATAACTGAATATAGGGTGCTTGGTCCTATGATTAATGGATGCTCATGGATTGAATTACGTCCACATACAAGCCGGAAGCATCAGGTATTATTCCCCGTTGCTTCTTTCTTTAGTTAAAGCCTACAACCTTTATTGCTTATTCAGAAATGAGATTTGTTAGATTGATGGAAATAATTCAGTTCCCTATCCTAGGGTCAGAGTTAAGACTTGTTTAATTGTGTTTCAAAAGTAAGGATCACTCTTTGCCCGCTGATCTCAACTGTATGCTTCTACCTGACAATGAGAGTTCAGATAATGATAACATGAACTATTTTACTTCTTCAGACAACTGTAAAAATGTGCTTCTCATTTTTTTTTCTCATTGAGTTTTGTACGTTTGATTAGATCTTGTGAGTTATCTCATCTTTGGTCCAATCCTTTTAATTGTTAATAGCACTTACAGAAAAAAAGGTAGATGTATGATTAGCTTTTTGAAGAAACGGATATTGATGGGAAAGATGAAGCTTTGGCAGTAATTCCATAAATAGACAAGTTGGATAAAGGCCACTAATTGATGTTCCCGTGGAGTAGCATCGTCCTTAAGTGCTCTGATATTCCAACTTCTGCATGCAAACATTTTATGGCTCTCTATTCCCTGAGCAGCTTTGCCTTCGTCTAACACCTTATTGTACACATGAATACCTAATTTGGAAACTTAAACAATCCAATCTTGCCTCTGGATGCCTCTTCTGGACCATTAAAGAAAGTACTTGCAAGTGCTGTTATATTGCAGATGCTTACACGTAATATCATTAGCTTGACCTATAATTGCTAAAGGCCCTACAGTCTGAATGGTTTGCCTCTGCAATGTTATTATTTCAACGTACCTCTGTGGAAAGCTTACTGTGGGAATTGTACATTATCTGACTTTGTTCTTCTTTCTTCAGCTTCGTGTGCACTGTGCTGAAGCTCTTGGTACTCCAATTGTGGGTGACTATAAATATGGCTGGTTTGTTCATCACAAATGGAAGCAAATGCCTAGAGTAGATTTTGAGCCAAACAGTGGGGAACCCTATAGATTGCGAAGGCCAGAAGGTTTGCATGTTCAGAAAGGGAGTGTCTTGTCTAAGGTTCCCCTACTTCATCTGCATTGTCGAGAGATGGTACTTCCAAACATTGAAAAGTTTCTTGAAATCCATACAAGTAAAGGCAGTAATTACCAGTCAAAACTCAAGTACAGCTCAAAACCAGATGTCCTTCGTTTTGTCGCACCGATGCCATCTCACATGAAAATTAGTTGGAATCTCATGTCATCTTATTTGATATGATAATGACAAAACTTGCCTTCACTCTAAACTAGTAAATCTATGGGAGCCTGCTTATTTGCATGTTGTTCCTTCCTTTGTTTTGTGTTCTTTTCCAATTTGTGAAAGCATGTGATGGTGTTCCTGAGGAGTTTGTTTCAAGCAGACTGTCAGAGCCATGGGGAAATGTTATGAAAGAACAGCACATTTCTAGTTCAAAGAGTTTCTGATATGAGCGCATGATACCTTAGGTTGATGAAGCATATTGGCCTCCTTTTTAATCTTGTACATGAAAAGAATATCCCGTTTTATCAAAAGAACGTGTTTGCACCATGTAGATGTAGTTTTCTAAATTACACCTACTTCCAAAATGACTTCATGACTTTGTATACGTGTACTTTAGTTTAATTTTGCCAAACCGTCATTTGCTTCTTCAAATTCTCAATATGACCGTGGCAAATTCACAGCGCCGCAACCTTACTAACTTTTTATTAACTTCTATTAAAAGTTAGCGTAATTCAAGGAATATAAAACAGTGCCGCAAGTAAAGGCATTTTGCACTAGTGAGAGGAATATCCTGTGGTTCACTGTGATATAAAGCCAGGCAATATCCTCCTAGACGGCAATTTAACGGCTCATGTAAGTTAAGATATTGCGGCAGCCACATCTACGAGAATGTTGATTCTCTGACTAATGTTTAAGCCATTATGGTGCCATTCAGATTTTGGATGTAACCACTCCTCTAGGCTCCCATTTGTCATGAAGGGATATACTATAGCTTTGAAATCATTACCCTGGAAATCAGAACTTGAACATGCTGTTATTACCTTGACAAGGTTGCGGTGCCTTGTATGTCTCAAGGCTTGGCATTCAGCCATGAAGCTCTTAGAAGCGTCTGGCAGATGGAGGTGCTGTACCTTGACAGCTATTACTGTTTCATCTGGACTAAGAGTTCCCTTGTCTACAGTTCCAAAACTACCTGAATCAATCAAGTTTTCTGAAGAGAATCCTCCTGTTGCATCATGGAGCAATTTATAGGAAACACTTGGATAGATTTGCCTGGAACTAGATGACACATCAGATTGTTTCTTAGAAACATCATAGATTGTTTCTTGGCAAGAGTGATAGGAATATGATTGAAGCCACCCCAACTAGCGTCAGTGTCAACTTGAGAGAGAGAGAATGCTTCTTGTGTACTTTTTCTGGATCTTGCAAGAGGCAATTTGGCAAATGCAGTTCTTGGACCCCACCACAAAGCTTGGGGTTTCCTAGCACTTCTACTGCACTACCATTAGCAAATACTCCTTCTGTGGGGATCTTACCTTCTAAATTATTGAATCACAAGTTAAGGTAGACCAGAGAAGAAAGATTCATAAAAAAAGGTGGAACTTGGCCAGAAAGGTTATTGCAGGAGAGATCTAGATACTGAAGAGATAGCGGACCCCCAAAATAAGGTATCGTCCCTTGGAGTGAATTATTCTGCGTGTAGAGAATTGTTACAGCCGATAATTTTCCCATGCTGATTGGTATGTTACCAGAATACCTATTGTAGGAAAAATCAGCATAAACAAGATGCCTCAAGTCTCCAATATCCGGGGGTATGGAACCAGTCAGGGAATTGTAAGAGAAATTTACTGCTCTAAGTGTTGTAATCTGCATCAGTTGTACAGGTAGTCTGCCACTCAGATTATTCTGTGAAAGGTCTAAACTTTGCATCTCTAAACAATTTCCCAAGTTTAAAGGTAGACTTCCCTCAAGATTGTTGGTGGCAGTATAAAAATTTATCAGCTGTGTTATGTTGCCAATGGAAGACGGAATCTCACCTGTAAACTGGTTTGAACTTAAAGCAAGTGTTCCCAGGTTTGAAGTCGTCCAATTGAAGCTGGAATAATTCCAGTCAGATGATTATTGCTCACGTAAAGTGTATTCAGATTTATGAGATTACCTATCTCTTTAGGTAGGCTTCCACTGATGCTATTGTTTTCAAAGTAAAGTCTCATCATTGAGTGGAGAGATTGGCTAAAGATCTGGGTAAGATGCCTCCGAATTGCTTGTCACCAAAATGCAGGAATAATAAATTGCTACAGTTTGTCAAAGTGGATATGAACTTCAAATCATCAGGTTGGCCACTTCCCAAAAGATTGAAACCAACATTGATCCACTGAATATTAGCCAAGCTACCAAAACTCAAAAGGTACTTGTCCTGTGAATTGATTCCCAAGAAGTTCAAGTTGCAAAAGGTTTGAAGCATTAGAAAATGAATATGGAATCTGCCCAGTGAAAAAATTAGCTGCCAAATAGATCCTGTCAAGATTCGGCCAAGAAAGGCCAATGTTAGGTCTTAGGAAGCCTGTGAACTTGTTGTCCGTCAGGGCAATGAATCTGAGAGATGACATATTATAAAGTGCAGGAGGAAATTCACCGTAAAGATTGTTATCTGATAGCCCAAGTGCCGCTAAATCTCTAAGCTGAGATATGGAACCTGGAACTTCACCCTGCAAATGGTTGTAAGACAAGTACAGCACCCGGAGAGCTGCAAGATTTCCAATAGAAGCTGGAATACTTTCTGTGAGATTGTTTCCAAGATAGAGTTGCCTGAGGTTTACTAAGTAGCCAAGTTCATATGGTATCTGTCCGACAAAGTAGTTGTGATCCAGTACAAGAGCCGTGAGGTTGGAACATTGTGACAAATTTGCAGAAATATGCCCTCCAAGAAAATTGAAGCTCATGTTCAGGTATTGAAGCCTGAATAAGTTGCCCAATTCTGGTGGAATCCCACCTTGAAAGTAGTTGTCAGACAGGTCAAGAGAGCGTAGAAAAGACAAATTTCCAAGATGAGGTGAGATGGTTCCACTCAACTTCAGTCCTTGGAGATTCAGACTTGTTACTCTTTGGTGTTTGAGGTTGCAAGCAACACCAGCCCACTTGCAAATATGGAGAGAATTGTTCCAAGATGCCAAGGCACCTAGAGAATCTTCAGTTATTTCTGTCTTGAAAGCCAGCAATGAAGCTCTATCTGTCTCATTTCCAAGTGTGAAAGCAGTAGTATACTCTAGAAATTTCATGCTAAGCAATAAAAGAATGATGGAGGAAACAGTGAAAGATGAATACTTGCTAATGCTCAGCATGTAAGCCTCCATTTTCAAGTGGAAGAATGTATGCTAATGATGAAAGAATTGCTTCTTCACTGGCTTGTGTTGCCACATACTAATTATTGGCAACAAATAAATAATAGTCCAAATCATACGGTGAAAACACTGTCTGTCTTAGGAGCTTAATATAACTCATCTAATTGATTTCAACTCATCAGAAACTGAACAAAGCTATACATACATCACAAGCAACTTAGTTGATATCATTATGTAGTTGACTTATAGATGTGAAAATGAAAAGGGAATATATCATCCCTTCCAACTTCCAAGTACTTTCTTCCTTGCAGTTTTGATGATGCAGGAGTTGATTCTTGACTTAAGGTCAGGAAATTCATTCTCAACAAAGAATGCTCCTGAACCAATCTGTTGAGGGCCTGCATTTTCTCCGCTCGCATATGCTAGCCCCATGTTAAGCTAGTTTACTATTACTAAAAGATTGTAAAACAGAAGTATCCTCCTTTGAAACCAGCCGATGGACAGTCAGACAACCAAACTTAATCTAGTCAAGGGTCCATTTGCTTCCCCTTCCTCTTCTTGAAGAAGGTTTTTTTTTTTTTGGCAACTCTTTTAAACCTGAGCTTTTTCCTTGCAAGTACTTAGTAACTGGCTTAACATGGCTAAATTTGATCGTTGCCTGAACTCCAGAGATTTCATAATTTATTGAAAGAGGGGACATGAGCATGTTTTTGAGTATTTGATCCTATGTTCTCGTGTGACCATTAGGGGGCTCCTCATGGTACAATTTCCCATCCATGAGAACCGTACAACTATGAGCTCTTCGTTCATTTTCCCTACCTGTTGATCAAAATTTTGAGTAACTCGCTTAGTTTTTCTTGAATAATATCATTAAAAATAATAAATGTGGTTGATTTCATCCATTTCACTCTTCATTTTCTTGGTTTTTCAAACTCGTGATATTTTGTTTGTCTCGAAAGTATACGCCAGATTGTATTTTGACCAGAAAAGCATACACGCAGTATTCAAATGGCATTCGAATCAAATATTTATCATTTAACTGCAAACCAAAAGTTTCCATAGTTAATCAACTTTGAATCTTTGCAAGAACATCAATCTTTACAAAAACGAGAAGAAAAGCCCGAGCATACTAACTTCTTCCCTCTTCGTGTTGTACAATTTCGTATTCAGCTTAGTGTTACAACCCATGTGCAACTTCTCTACAGCAGCAGACAAAAATGCATAACCATTTATAGTTAATACCCTTGATTTGCCAGATAAACATGTAATCATCTAATATCCCTTGTTACAGTCGGGCCATCTCAAGCAGAAAAGACCCACTTCAAAATTGGTCTAATGGGGCATCACAAAATGGCAAGACACAGGTCAAAAGTCTCACTAGCATGCTCGAAAATCCAGAAAAAGACGTAATTTCTGGGAAAGCAGCTCTCGCGTTCCATAAAGAACCTTACTACTGCTTATCCAGTCTTTCTCAAGATGTCCTGCTTTAGCACTATCCAGCATCTCGTCATGGAAAGCGGACACAATGAAGTAAATGGAAGTTCTCAGTATATCAGCCATTGCATATGCCTTCATATAGATAGGGCTACCTCTTCTTTTCTCGCTAAGACCCACAGCAGAATCTCGGCTTGCTGTGCCCATTTGGGCCCATTTAATTCCAGCAGCACCCATCAAATGATGAGAAGACTGTATATTGGTCTTCTTCCCCATGAAAGTTTCAACAACCAATAATGCAGACAGCAATGTTGAGATAACAGCAGTGTTGTTCCCAGACAGCTGAGCAACACCAAATCGGTCCTCCTTGCGTGAACTTGCAGTCAATGAAGCTACTATCCGAGCACACCATGCGCATAGCTGCATACAGTTAACAAGAGCAATTAGCATTTCAAATAGAAGACATTCACAGGAGCTGCTTCGATTCTTCAGACAATACCTCTGGTTTAGAAGAAAAGAGAGATAATAACATTTGAGCAGATTCAATCTGTCAATTAAATGCCATGCTAATGCGCCACTAATCACATAATTATATGTTTTCCTTTCCTTTGCCCTTCCAAGTGCTACTACACAAAGCACATGTTCTCCTTTCCTAAACCTTTGTTGTAGATTTTTTCTCCCCATCCTAGACTTTGGATTTAATATTATTGATCTTTCCCCATTAAGACACGTATGTGTTTGTTAAGCATCTTGATAGCATATCATTTCTTGAGTCACAAACACGGGGCTCATGTATGGTTTTCTTGAGTAAAAATTGACCACTTTTTAAATCTCAAGAGTTATTAGTTCAAACTTCAAACAGTTAAAATTGATTATCATTTTGAAGAGACATAATCAGCAATAGCACAAATTTATGAATATTGGCCTAAATGGAAAGTCTATATTTATATCAAATTTCAACAACAATTTGAGAATAATACAATATTCAGCTGAAATCTAAAATTCCAATAAGAGAAACTCTCCCCAAGTTTAGTATACAGCTCATTTAAAACCTGATCATAATATGCAGCTCTGTATCATGTCCTTTTGGTTTACTAGTATATCAATCTTAAAGACTTCAAAAATCTAATAAAATCCAAATCACACATTAAAATGGGAAATAACATTAAGCATGCAAAGCAAATAGATAAGGCAAAACCATGTAACTAGATTAGTATATAGCTGGGAAACAAAGATAACCTGGAAATCATTAAATGATTCATGTAGTCTTGAATCTCCAAGTCTGTCAGTCGGTGAGCGCAATTGATCAGATAGATAGGCAGATTTCTCACCTAGTGAGCTCTCTAGACCTGCACCCAAATTCAGTGCGAGTTGCTCCAGAGGCCTCAAGCATACAGAGATAACTCTTCTGTAAGTCTCTCCAGTTTCTTCAAAGAATGCAGCTCGGCGCCAGGTATCAACATTTCTCTCACAGACCATACAGAGATCAAGATAAGCCAGATACTGCAAAAGAGATTTTGGAGTACTCTCCTCCAGTGCAGCTAAAAGATACTCACTTGGATTTGTTTCAGCTGCAGCTGATCCTTTTGGGGGTGCAAATATGAACCTCTTAGTATGTAGTATCTGTATAGTAAGAGGAATTTCATTGGCCGCAAGTACTTTAATAGTTGACCTACTTCAGATGATATGCAATAGCACGGCCAAGATTTGATGTATTATCGAAAAACAAAAACTTGGGTGGATGAAAACAAGTAAATTACCTGATGCAAATGGTGACTTAATTCCCAACAGAGAAACACCAAAAAAGTTCCAATATAGAAGATAATCTGTTGAGCAATATATTTTCCAATAGAAAAATTACTTCCATACTCATCAGGAAGGAAGAATAACACCACTGATGAAAAGAAGTAGGCGGCAGTTGAAAGTTTCAAAGCTTGCCCAAAAGCAGAAGGAAGACCCATCTTAAAACTGAAGAACAAAGGGCGCTGTACACAGACAGAAAAAAACAGTGTGAAGTTGCAATTAGAGAAGAAGAATAATCATATACATTGGCTTTATACAACTATATGCCAACTCATACCCAATGCCGCCTAAAGCATTAAAAAGTAAAAGATAATTACAATATAAGTGAATGTCAGAACAACAATTTACTATGCCTTCTAAAAAGAGCCAAAAAAAAATTTGCAACACTGATAGCAAATTTGGTAATGCATCAGCATTTGGACATAAAAAATAAATCAACTAAACTTAAGTGATCATAGCTTTTTTCTTTTTCTGACATCAAAACGTGTTTTCTTCTCAAGGAATGAACAGCCAGAGACAAAAAAATCAATACAAATGAGGTAACTTCAGCTCCAATTGCTAAATTCTTAACAAAATTGAGTATCCACCAATTGACCTCTGCAGTTACTTGAACACAGAAGTACTATGCTTATATTTACAACATCAATATTTAAACTTCCTTTTACAGCTAATATGTCTTCCAACTAATAAACTGAACAAAACTTCAATTTCAGGCGAAGTCTCTGTGAATAAAAACATGGCGTTGAACTATCATATTAACAAATTCTATATTTCTTTCATTTTTTTCTCCTATGGTTCTATCTATGGCCTCATGGCCCTAACAACTATCTACACATACAAAATGTGGAGTAGCAACTGCAATAATATCATCTGAAAGCAGCTTTCGAAGAGGATCAGGTGGCTCATGGAGGAAAAAAAATATTGCATTTAATTTCACTACTCCCCTCTCAAGCATGTATAGCAAAAGGCCACAAGTCATTTACATTATCTTTCATCTCTACTCTTACAATAAGCAAATAGTTCTACATTAACAAACAAGTTTAACCCCTGTGTACTTTTTCATTTGTCTCCACAAATGGATACTCATTTTACACCTTGATACAAAGGCACAACAGAAGGGAAAGAAAATCAACCAAAAAAAATAGCAGAAATAATCAAGCTACTTTTAACATAAAGCACAATGCAGAAACTACAACATTTGTAGATTCCACTGCAAAAAATGTACCATACATCAATAAACCAATTAAAATTCAGAAATGCAGAAACTTTAGACCTTTTTTTTTACTAATTACCAAAAATACCTGAACAATAGGAAACTGCAAAACCCATCTCTGCTTATACAAATAATAAACTCCATAAGGCAATCCGATAAGAAAACCCCTAAACCCTAACATCGCAACCACCACACGCCATGGCATCGTCTGATGAAACGCGCCGCTACTCCAACATATCGAAATCAATGCAACAAACCCTGAGAGAGCCGAAACCACCAGAAAAAGAGCAAAGCTCAAAGAAAACTTCACGGCTTGCCGAGCCTCAGGCGACAAACTGGGATTATCAGTGTGGACAAAAATCAGCCGAACCGAAGTGAGGAGGAGGTCGAGAGGGGAACCGGGTTTCTGCCGGTGAGGAGAGGAGATGATAAAAAGACTGGTAGAGAAGAGAAGGAGGGACACGTGGAAGGCGAGGAAAGAGAATAGGGAGTGAAGGATTGAGGGGGAATTTTTGGAGCGGAAGGGGTAAAGAAGGAGGGTTTTGACGAGGAGCAGAGAGACTGTGGAGAGGATTGATTGCCATATGAGAAATGAGATGAAGCGATGTTTGATGACAGTCGTGGTGGTGGATGTGGTGACGCCGCCGTTCTTGGGTTTGAAAAGTGAGTTTTGGACGGCTGTGGAGAGTGACATGGCGGCGGACTAAGGTGGCGTTAAGACAGAGCCACCAAGAGTGTGGGCGGTGGTGTTTTCGGGGGTTTTGTGCGGGGTTTGGTTTGGTCTTCTTCTTGCATAGATCATAGATGTGAATTTTGGGGAGGAATATAGGCGGGAAAATAGAGGAAAATGAAAAGGTTAAAAAAGGAAATAAGAGTAATATTAAGGATAGGAATTTACGTGTTTTGTAAATATATTTTTCAAATTTTTTATCTCTCATATATATATATTGCTATAATACATTTTTTTATAAAAAAAAATCTAAAAAGTAGCAATCCAAACGAGCATGAAGGCCTTTGCACTTTGAATGAAATGGAATTCATTTGAATTGAATGATTATTTTGAATTATGAAAAAATGAAATTGGTAGAATAAATCAATTTCTAACATGTAAACATTTGCCACAAGTAAGAATTTTATGAGAACTTCACTACTACTTAATTGTTAACTTATGCACTATTAACTTTGAAACATACAAACATACATTTTTGTTTTAATAGTGAGAGCATTTGGATAGCAAATTATTTCAAATAATATTTCGTTTGCATCATAAATATATTTTTTAATTTATTTTTTTATCTCATATACATCACATCACAAAAACTGTTACAGTAATTATTTTAAATAATATGCTATCCAAACACACTCAGTATTTGTATACTTCTTTCTTTGTTAGAAAAAATATCGACATCCATATAAGTCATGAAGTCAATCAAACTCGCATTATTGTTATGTACAATTTGATTTATCATTTCTTTCATCCAAATTCAAGCTTAAACTGATTTTTATTCATTTATTTGTATTGAAATTGATCCTCATCTATTTATGCAACGATTGTGCTCTTTTCGTCTCACTAGGTAGTGGTTATTAGTGGCGCATTGTTGCATTAGATGGCCGAAAATTTTTCTGCATATCCATCCCCTTTTTCTTATTTCACATACAATAAATCACTATATTACATTTTTTTAATAAAAAATCTAAAAAATATCAATCCAAACCAGAAAATAAAAGAATCCCTTATGATTATGACACAAATTCAAATGTGGATCCATCAATAAAAGCTTCGTCCCCACAAGGTATGACCATTTGACTTGGTTAGATGAAGCAAATTGACCGCTTGACCTCGACATTGAGTAGAAACTTCTAGTATTCATTTGCTTGACATTATTGGTCACATTATTATCCATATTAAATTGGTCAAAAAAGGCGGAGATTTGGCTTCTATGGTAGAAGTATAAGATTGACTATGTAATATTAATAATTAAAAAAGGGGGGTGGGTTTGGGGGAGCAGGGGCAGTCTCGAGATGAACGGTGTCGTATTCAAGTCCATTAGTGTGTACTTTGTATTAACTGAATTCCATTCACATCTAACGATTTGGACATATGAATTTGGCTGGGACCATGAAAAAAGATACCTGTTTCTTTAATATGATTGAGGCATTTTTCTCTCTCGTATAGTTGAGAGTTTATATATCAACGTAGCAACATTGGGCCAAGAGACAAACTAGTGCAGCAACAAGAATGGAAGGAAAATTTATCCAATTCTTTTCACTCATTTGTCTTTGCTTGTTTCCTGCAATTTCTACACTTGAAGCCAATGATGTTAAGGCCAATAAAGGGTGCATTGAGATTGAAAGAAAAGCACTGATCAAGTTCAAAGAAGGGCTAACTGATCCTTCTCATTTTCTATCATCTTGGACAGGTGATAACTGCTGTTCATGGAAGGGCATAAGTTGCAGCAATGAAACAGGCCATGTGGTGAAGATTGAACTCCAGAACTATGAATGTTTCAATGATGCTGGAAACTACTATGGAAGCAACCAAAACGCATCGTGTCTTGGCGGCCAGATAAGTACATCTTTGCTTGATTTGAAATACTTGGATCACCTTGATCTGAGCTTGAACAGTTTCCAAATTCCGATCCCAGAATTCTTGGGTTCACTTGGAATGTTGAGTTACCTGAATCTGTCGCTTGCAGCATTCACTGGAATGATACCTCAACATCTTGGAAACTTGTCGAATTTGCGCTATCTTGATCTGAGCTCCGATTCTTCCCTGCAGTCTAATGATTTGTATTGGCTCTCTAGTCTGACTTCTCTGGAGTACCTTAAGATGGGAAGTGTCAACTTAAGTTTGGCTTCAACTCATTGGCTGCAAGTTCTCAATCTCATTCCTTCTTTGTCAGAAGTACACTTGGTTTCTTGTGAACTTCAGAACTTGCCTCAATCTCTACACACTGTCAATTTTACTTCCCTCTCTGTCCTAGAGCTCACAGGAAACAGATTCAAGTCACCAATCCCTCGGTGGTTTTCTAACCTCAGCACCCTGGTTCAGCTTGACTTAACAATGAGTGAGATCACAGGAGATGTAAGTGCAGTTATTGGAGACCTAACCACGTGCTGCAAGAATAGCTTAGAGGAGCTGATCTTGGCAGGTAATCAAATAAGTGGACACATACCTCATTCTCTTGGGCTCCTTAAGAAACTAAAATTCCTTGAACTTTTTCTTAACTTCATTTCTGGTCCAATTCCGGAGACTGTTGGAAACTTGACCAATTTGGAGGTGTTGGATCTATCTTACAATCAAATGAATGGCTCATTGCCTGAAAGCATCAAAATGCTCACAAAATTAGCCTCGTTAGATCTGTTGCAGAATAGTTGGCAAGGGATCCTATCCGAAAATCAACTTCAAAGTCTCGGAAAACTAGAATATTTCACCATCTCATCTTCAAACAAAAGCTTCACGATAAATGTGAGTTACAATTGGGTTCCTCCTTTTAGTCTTAAAGACATTGAAATCAATGACTGCCTACTGGGTCCTAAATTTCCAGCATGGCTGAAGACTCAGAAGCAGCTCTCAACAGTCATCCTTACTAATGTGGGCATTTCAGAGGTAATATCTGATTGGCTTTGGGGATTGAGTCAACTTACCTGGTGTGACCTGTCCAATAACCAAATCACAGGAAGTTTTCTCCCTTCACTTGAATATCCTTCGCCTGCACTCCAGAAATCAACCTTTAATCGCTCAAAAAGTTCTTTTACATCCTGGCATAAGCTATATAATCTAAATTTGGCAGGCAATTTACTTTCTGGACCAATACCTGCAAATATTGGTCAAGTATTGGCATCTGTGAGTATGCTTAATCTCTCTTGGAACTTCTTGGATGGTCGTATGCCTTCATCAATAGGTAGAATGAGGAACTTAATTTCACTAGATCTATCAAACAATCAACTTTCAGGCAGGATACTAGACAACTCGAGGCATTTGAAAAAGCTACTAGTTCTAGATTTGTCCGCGAACCATCTCTCCGGAACTGTTCCTGGTTCAATATTTCTATTGCCTGAACTACAGAAATTGAAGTTAAATGACAACCACCTTTCTGGTGATCTCTCAAATTACCAAATAAACAATGCAAGCTTCTTGGAATTACTTGATCTTGGAGGGAACAGATTTGCAGGGAAGATACCAAAATGGCTAGGGGCAAGCCCTCTAGCACTATTTGAGTTACGATTACGGGCCAACAGGTTCAGTGGCAGCATTCCAGAAGAAGTATGCAATCTTATATATCTCCACATATTGGACATTGCAGCCAATTATCTGTCTGGATCGATCCCAGCATGCCTAGGCCAGTTGACACACATGCAGATAGTGCTACCATTTGTTCCAATATCACCAATATCAGCATTCAAAGACATTGCCGAGATGGATTTGGTGGTGAAGGGAAGACAGATGAGATACGGCAAGACCCTCGAACTGGTGAACATTCTTGACCTTTCGAGCAATAATTTATCCGGAGAGATTCCAAAAGAGATAACCAGACTCTTAGCCTTAGGTACTTTAAACCTCTCCAGAAACCAATTGACCGCAAATATACCTGAGGAAATTGGAAACTTGAGCCTGCTGGAAACTCTTGATCTTTCCCATAATCATCTTTCAGGCCCCATACCCCGAAGCATGACTGCCATGACATTTTTGAACTACCTGAACTTGTCATACAACAACTTGTCGGGGCAAATTCCTTCAACCAATCAGTTCCAAACCTTCAATGATCCCTCCATCTATGAGGGAAACGCAGGACTTTGTGGCGTTCCTCTTCCAACAAAATGCGATGCAGTGAATGCTGGTGATGCAGAAGACAAAGGCCGCATGAAAGATCACAGCGTGGAAGAAGATGGTGAAGACAGCACAAAGCTTGAATTCTACATCAGCATGGTACTGGGATTCATTTTTGGATTTTGGGGTGTGTTTGGTAGTTTGTACGTATATAAGCCGTGGAGACAAGGCTAACTGCAGTTTGTTGATAAAGTGAAAGACTGGATGATACTAGTTGCCATCGCGCTGAAGGATGTCTTTAGGTAATTAGCTCCTATTCCTTTCCCTTTTCGATTTGCAATGAGGAATTTTACGTGTATGCATGTGTTGTCTTCAGATAGAGTCTTGTATCATTGTTGCTTAATTTAATTTTAATAAAGATGGATTTGAAGATTTCTCCAGAGGAGAGGAAGCACATTTGGACATCGTTTACTTGCCAATAGACAATTTTTTGTTAACTTAGAGAAACAAAATTATATTGACAAACCGCTAGTGCCGTTCAAGGATCTATAGCGAACATTTTTCCACCTTCAATGGTAAATACTTCCAACACTTCGTGGCCCAGCAAGTCAACATAGATATCGATTGGTGATACAGACATACATACATTGCTCATTTTTCTTATGTCCGTCCCGCTGTGTAACAGAACAGTCATATTACTGCACACTGGCTGTGTCTGTCTAACCCAAAAATTCACATAGCTACCTACTATTCCGCTGTCATTAGTGATTCTACTTTTGCTATCAATAGCATATCATGAAGTGCGCCAGAAATGCTTCACTCAGCAGTATTATCTGTCCGCTGCAAAATTGCAAAGCAAAGAGTTGGTCAGAAGAGCTGAGTGATGAAGCAGGCCTATATTAGTATGTATGCAACACAGGTAAAGAGCCCCCTGTCCAATCCAATAGCAACCCTCGTAACACATCACTTGAAACCTCATACATGCGAAAAGTAAAAGTGCAGTTACTTTACCTGAGTGCATGAAAATGTTATCAAGTATTAGAAAAACCAATATGGCAAACCTTCTTGGATCCTGTGTCAATTGCTTTACAAAATCGACCACTGATAGGTACTACAATAGCAACAAGCAAACAGAAGTTTGCCAACTTACGGCTTCAAAAAGCGATTTACAATTCTGAAGTAATCTTTTCTTTGGTGGAGTCCTAATAGCAGATGGATCTTACAAACTATATAGCATTAGGCTCCAATTCTTTCCATTTTATTTTATTACATGCACCATTGACTCTTAATGTAACAAAAGCAGAAAGCTGAAATAGGGTTCCCTTCCTAGCAGACCAGGTCACAATAAGTATCCAAGTCAAAGAAAATCCTAATGATATGAAAGTATGCATACAACAGGTGATGAAATCAACGGTGCTGAAAGTGTAACGTTGTATATGCAAGTCTTTATAAAGAATCACAGGGAAATTAGTTTAAGAAGTTCGAATGAAACTAACAAGATGAAGGCTACAAAGGGATATGAATCCAAAGCTGCAAACTGAAACCAATTTTGGTTTTAATGATTAAACTCTTTGGCATGGCCTTTATTTCTGCAATTGCATTAAAGCTAAAGAAAAGAAAATACCAAAAGAAATGCAATAATTATCAGTCAACTAACCATGCAGCTCTATAATATTATATACCATCCCACCATTATCCATCTAACCTTGTAATTAACACTCAAAACAGTCAAAGTTATGAGTAACACCATGATATAAAAATTAGCAAGTTGTTAGCCCCAACAACCTCATGCTGTTCCAGACTCTCATGCCCCACCTTTTGAAAATTGAAAACAAGCAATCAGGGTAATCATACGTTAAATTAAGAATTGTGAGATTTGTTATTACAGGCAATAGTAGCAGCCGGAGAAGAATAGGCAGCACATTCAAAACAAGTTTTATTTTGCTTTTCAACCTACAGATGGATAGCTCAATTTTATTCTCTAAGAAGGTACCAGAAATCATTCATGGAGCAGGTCTAAGAGACATATGAACACCTAAGAGGACTATAAAATTCCTCATTATAAATCAACCAAACAACACAATAATATGTGAAGTCAAACTTACCATTCTTTTGCTGATGTAAGGCTGAAATTGACTTGGCTTCTCTATTTGACTGTCAACTTTGCGCCATGTCTTGTTCTCCCCCAAAAATTCTTTTCTAGAATCTTTCCTACTTCCTGACTGCCACACTCTGCCGAAATTGGGTAGCCAATCAGCACCAAAATCGTGTCTTACAAGCTCACCTCTTTTCTCCAATTCCAGTTCTATCTTCCTTCTCTCTGCCCAGGCAGCTCCAACCCTTTTTGGGTTTAATTTTGAGGTCTTCATTTGCTCACCAAGAGAAGAGACAAGATCACCTAATCCTTGATTCAATTTATTGTCTAGTTGAATTTTCTCAGCGGCACTGAACCAAGGAGGAGGTGCTCCAGAATGAACATTTCCTCCACCATTTTCTTGTGCTGAAGAAGAGATTTGAGTGAGATTTTGCAAACCTAATAATCAAGAAACTTTGTCAAAAGACATCGATCAATCAAAATTAAAAAAAAAAATTATCATCTTCAAAGCCATCATAAAATTGGCAAACAATGAAGACCAAGGATGAGTATCAATGTATCATACCAAAAAAAAAATATGCTTCCCATTTATGGCATGGAACATGTCAACAAAAAACAAACTGAAAAGAACACAAAAATAAAAGAGGAACTGTTAGAGAAGTGTTACTCTGCAATCTGCTCTCTTCACTGGAGGTACCTTGGGAATGTCTATCTCCAATTGCAATTCCTTCATAAGAATAGACCTGCTACATGCAGGTCGATTACATTACATCTCGCTACCTTTAATATGAGAAAATCAAAACCCAACAGAAGGAAACAATAAACAGCCTCATGCTGACATTTCAATCAAGAAATGCAAACACAATATGACAAGTAACAATTGCAAGTTAACATCTTCCCAGTTTTTATTTCCTATTCTTGAGGCATAACAGGCAAATAACAATAACAGGTGCAAAGCACTACATCAGAAGAACACAGGATTACAACACAACTTCCAGTCTTCCTCTCTCCCCAACATTACAACGTCCATAACATGTCAAATCATACTAAGTTTAGTCATTCAAGTCTTGTTGATGTGATATACAGGTTTTTCAAGCAATTTTGACAATTAAAGTAATGTAGTGGTATACTTGTCATTAAGATAAGAAATTACTGTTTCACTCCTCATGTTTGTGTGCCTTCAATATGAGTGCTCAACCACACAATGTCTTGGTTCTTAAACTAGAAAAACATTAGGAGAAACTGCCGAAGTTATTCTGTCAGCATTTCACACCAAAATGAAGTGCATGTCCAGCCCTTTTGTGACCTAAAAGAAATTTTCACCTATTTCACTTATTCCTTGAACTTCTCATTCTTCAAAAGTTAGTTACCTTCCAATTTCATCAAACCTTCCCTAACAACTGTTCAGAAATTTGCTCATAGAATATTAAGTGAAACTTAATGCTGCAACAGCCTCATATTTGATGCAAACTCACCCTACATCTTAGTACTCAATTCCAAAAGCATACTGGGCAAAACATATAAGGTTCTTCTATTCAAAATCTCAACCCACGTAATCAAAAGGTTTGCACTTGGCTAGCATAATCACAGCAGCAATGTGAAGCACAATTTCTCCCTCCTTGTGCCACTCCTGCTGAACTTTTCAATCTTCAAATTTCAGCACCTTTTTTCCTAGAAAGTCACTCTTTATCCCACTTAATATCACTGTTACATTGTCCTCAAGCTTGACTAACAAACGTGTGCATGAACTTAAAACCTCATAAGCATTAAAGTGAGGGAACAGTTGAACAGAAGTTTCGAGACAAAATCCTTTTCATAACACCAAAATCAGATTAGTGCACGCAAGAGTTATGTACAGGAAACTAACATCAATATGTATACGATGTCTAGCATCAAAATAGTTTACTGTATCATTTTATTTATCACAAAAGTCATAACATTGTTTGGAAATTAAGGGGTGAAAAAAAAAACCTTAATGTTGTAGATAAAAAGTTTGAAAAAAAAGCATAGAAATTGACCAAAAACAAAAAACAAAGAAATGAGCAAATACTTCTGAAAAAGACTTACTTTTCCATCATTGGGACAGCTGTAAGCTGGACCTTCCTTGGGTACAGAATGCGTATAATGTTGATTACCGAAAAAACCTGGATCAAGACGCGTCATATCAGTTAATTAAACCACCAATTCTTTCCCTGATTGAAATTGGAAAAATGATGAGAACCAAAAACCTGGTAACCCATTTGGAGTCCGTGCACCTAAGCCAACACCTGTACCCGCATGAAGTATTTGAGGTCCAACTGTACATATTTTTGAATGTGATATCTGAGATCTCTCAATTGTATGATCTTGTAAAGGCACAACACTATTTGAACATTTAACATCAGAAGTTAAACAATCTAATTTATTTTTGTCAAAACTGTTTACATATTCAGATTTTGATTCATTGTGGATATCATTCAATGGTCCAATTAAAGATCCATGAGATCCTCCACCAGCAGCCTCACTCTTCAACAACTTGCACTTCTTCTCCCACTGCATTTGTGAATAAGTGAAAAAAATGGTCAACCCATGGTTAAACCACAAAAGGAACAATATGTCACTGCTAGTTTTTAGTACAAATGTCAAATGATAATGTAGATACAGTTCAACTTCCATAAAATTACTCCAACGGCAATGAATATATGGTTTCCCCTAATGAGAAACACTAGGGGTGTCTTCTTTTACGATCAAAAAATCACTTATCAATTTTGCTAGATTTATTGTTATATTTCTAAATAATTTTTATGCCATTTTGATTTTAAAAAAATTGTTCTCCTACATAGGCATACAAATTACAGATAAATACAGGATTTGAAGCCTAAAGCAAAGTACATAATTCTGCCCAAAACAAAAGGAAGAAAATCAGGCAAAGCCACCTTAGTAAAATCAGACTCAGAAATCCGAAACGAATCCATGCGGTCCATTCCACCTCCATATTTCCACAAAAAACTCTTCACTCCCTTTAAATGTTCTGCACTTGCCAAATGCGCGATGGCGTTGCCACTGCTTAATGAATGAAACATTCCCCCGCAATTAATCATTTTCCATTAACTAAAAATAAATAGGACAAAAATCAGCTTAAATTAGATGAACAGAAAATGATTACCAAGCAAAGGAGCTGTCGGATTCCAGAATATCAAAGTCGCAGAAGACGCACCAGAGGCGGTTGAGGGCGGCGTGTTCAGGACGAAGAGGCATAGGCTTTTTAAGGTAAAAAGCGACGTCGTTCTTGAGCTTGGATTGGAAACGAGAGAGGAATGAAGAAAGAGCCTTCTTGTGGTTGGGAAAATAAATGTGGCGCCGGCCTTGATTGTGATTCAATCTGCACGCCTTACAAAATTCGAATTGAGTTCGTTGCTTTCCCTGAACGGTGTCGTCTTCATCATCATCCTGATTGCTATGCTTTTTCTTCTTTTTATTAGGGTTAGGGTTTTGTATGGGCATTACTGTAGAAGAAAGAGCAGGAGGAAGAAGATGGAGAGGAGGTGCGGAGGATACTGCCTTTCCCCTCTTTCTAAATTGGTTTATGCGACAATACATTTGAATCCCGCCTTTTATTCCTTTTTAAAGGCGTGGTTTCGAAGGCAGAAGGAATTTTACGACTTTAATTGGGGGCTGTCGGTTGGGCCAGTTAGACCAGGCTCCACCAAGCCCAAGTTTGGCCCAAATAATTTATCAAAATTAACCGACCGGTCTAATTCATATACCAATACTTTCATCATTGATTGCCTTCAAACTCTCCAATCCACTCCGCTGAGGTCCACACTTCAATTGGGTTTGTTTGGATTGAGGATTATTTATCAAAATTTATTTGCTTACATCATCATTACAATTTTTAACACACTTTTTTATTTTTTCAATTACCTTTTTATCTCACATACATCACATCACAAAAAGTGCTACAGTAAAAATATCTCAAATAATTTACAATCCAAACAGAGCCACGTCATCGTCCTTTTGATTCCTCCACCAGCTCCGCCATTCCACGTGGCATCATCTTCACTGCCGATTGTCTCACCGTCAAAGCCCTTCTCTTTCGAGCTCTCCACTGGAGGCAATTTCATGTACTTCATGGCTGAGTTCTAGAAGGAGGAAGATTACGATAGCAAAATGGCTTAATTTCTGCCTTTCCAATGTAATTTTGGCTTTGCCCTTCTACTTGTGGACTGGTCCTAGTATTCACCAAACGTTCTTCCTCACGACAACGCCGTCTACAGAGCTCTCCTTTGTTCCAACTCTGGCCTCTGTAACTTTTCCTATTGCTGATTTCCTTCCCAGGTTCTTGTTCATTCTTTTTGCCATTTTCCCCACTTTTTTATGTGCCCATTTTCTTGCAGATGACCCTTTCGGCGATCCAAAGGTTATAAATTTACAATCCAATGCCAATCCAAAGTTTCTATCAAGTTGACATAAAAATTGAATCTTCAATGTTATAATCGAACCTGAAATATCTGAAACTGGTGGGCCTCCACTAATTCTTCTGACGCTATGAAGAAGAAAGAGAGGGAGAAGCTTTTACTGCTTTCCCTTTGGCCTCCGTTTGGCCTTTGCCCTTCTCTCTCGGAAATGGAGTGGCGGTAAGCAAATGTCAGAGGGGACTCGCAGACGTCAGCGTTTAGTGACTCTTTTTGGATTATATTCCAGTGCCCAAGATATTATACATCATCGCCCTTTGCCCCTCGGAAGTTTCTAACCTTGATGGAAATGATGAGAAGTTTTATAGGACTTTTTCTGTAGCAATTTGCTTGGTACTTGTGTTTGTGGTCCACGTACTTTTCTGTTTGTGGAATGCTGCAACTCTCTTGGGGATGTTGCAACAGAGGCCCATAAATTAATGGTGTGATTAACACAAAATAGTGCAGATAAATTACCTAGAATTGTTGATGTTCGCTCTAGCAACCGTTCTTGACTCTAATATAGTGTAGAATCTCGTTTAGGGTTTGGAGGCAATTTTGTTTAGGATTTTCTGTGGTTAACTCAAAAGTATTGGTATATGAATTAGACCGGTCGGTTAATTTTTGTTCAAAGGTTTAAAGGGTAGAGAAAACTTGTGTTAAACCAAATCAATTTGAATTATTAGAAAATTAAAGTGCAAATAATAATAAAACACTTGGTACAATATTAGTGGTGGCATTGAATTGGCATAGAAAATATGTCACCAAGGATCTCAAGTGGATAAAGGGATACCCTTTTTTGACTTCAAAGTCTTCGAAGTTTACTGGAAGGGGAAAAAGCTCCCATCAGTCAAATTGATCATCCGCAACAATCGGGAAATCTGACAAACTTCAAATTGATCATCCGCAATAATGGATAAGTCAGACGATTTTTTTTTTTTTTTTTTTTTTGGCTGAGTAAACAACTTGAAAGGATAGGCACTTACAGAAAATATCTTTGATTTTCTTCCAAATTAAAAAAATATATAATTTTGTAGCCGTCGCCCATTGCGGACTGCCTAAGAAGCGTGGGCGAGTAAATCAGTTTGATGAAGCGGTGGCCCGGAATAGAATTGACATGCCTGGATTGTATTGGAGGCCTTTCTTGGTTCAATGTGCTGGCTACTAAACTGGGCCATTAAAAATGATTTTTTGTTCAGAAAGAAAAGTACACCATCCTTCTAGTTCGACAGGGGACCTCCGGGCTTGTTGGCATACGGCTTGTGTCCTCTTTACAACTGGCTTCAAATCCTTGGTCGTGGATAGAGGTGGCAATATGGATAAATGACTCATAATTGATTTTGACTTAATGAACGGGGATGAAATTTATTCAATTCATTTAGATTCATTTAATAAATGGATCTAAATAAATGGATTAAATAAAAATCAATTATCCATTTATAATCCATTTAAATATTTTGGTAACTTTTTTTTTTTGGTCAGATCCCCCGGTATGCAGTAACCACTTTGGACCCTGACAAATCCGGAGTTGAGCTAGGTTGCACCCCATAAGAGGTGCAAGCTCTCCCAGCACCTGTCTCTCCATTCACAAGACTTGAATCCGAGACCTTGCTTAAGGGAAGCCAAGTGCCATGCCAGTCAGACTAAGTACAACACTTGGCCTAACAGCAAGGGTGGTCCCTCTCGTTTTTCAACATCAGATGAAGCTTTCATTATGAAAGCATTTCCTTAAATGTACAAGATAGAAACATGTTTTTAAGTAAATGGATATATATGATTTTTGTGGATAATCCATATAAATTCATTTAATTTAATGGTTTTACTTTGGTCAACCATTTAAAACCAATACTATAAATGGATAATCCAAATCCATTTAATTATGGATTATATGGATAGATAAATGGATCTCAATCCAAATTGCCACCTCTAGTCGTGGACATTCGCAGTCCAGTTGTGGACGTAAAAAATTCTTTCATGTAAAATTCACTAATTTCGTTACATGACAATTCTTTTAATTTTAGAGTGTTGAGTTAGTGGAATCCATTTAAAAGTGTCTTGACCAACTTGGGACCGAAAACTTTCACGAGTGAGGATTTGAAGCCTTTACAACTTGGTATAGGCGATTAGGGAACTACTCTCAGTGGAGTTGGCACTGTACTTTGTGTTGATATTGGCAAGAAAGTAATACTTTGTGTTAATTTTTTTTTGACAAAAATGAGCTTGAATTTGCAATCAAGATTACGTTACTTCTTGATCCTACTGATCCAGTAAAATCTCCTTTAGCTACGGACATGATGGGGGATTGCGTCATTCTGTTTGTGTTCAATGGACCACAAAAAGAAAAAAAAAACTAGAGAAAGAAAATTACTTATTACAAAAAGAGTGAATGGCCCAAAAGGTCACTAAACTATTAAAAATGGCACCCTCTGGTCACTAAACTTTTTTTGTGGCCGAAAAGGTCACTAAACTCGCAAAACTCTCCAGCGAAGTCATTTTACCGAATTTCAGCGGTTCCTCATCCGGTAACATGGTCAATATGGAGTGGAGGAATATAGTAAAGGGGCAAAAATGTCAAACAAAATATGGTCAACCTTTTTTTCTCTCGCAAGTCGTGCCTCAGATCTAGAAATTAGCTGAGTTCTCTTTTCATTTGTTGAAAGACAAATCTTCTCTCATCTATTCAAGGAAAAATCTCCTTCCATTTCATCCTGTCCAATGACTCATGGCAAGACGCAATAAACCGATTCCATTCTGCAAGTGCGGAACTAGAACTATTTGAAGACCTCATGGACAGAAAGAAATCCAGCGCGAAGATTTATTGAATGTGCTCAAATCAGGTAAGATAATTACTTAATGGATATTTGCGAGTTTACAAGATGGATAAAATGTAAATATTTGTTGCTGCAGGTTAGAGGGTGTGGATTTTGGGACTGGTATGATGAAGAAATTTGTGAGAGAGCTAAGCAAGTAATACCTGGCCTGTTAAGAAGTAAGAACAAATTAGAAGCTGAGAATGAAGCTCTGCAAAAGGAGGTTCGGGGATGGCAAAGCAAAGCAAACGAGATGGCACTGGAGATAAAAGACTAAAGGAGCAATTGGAAAAAAAACAAAGGACAAGAAAGCTAGCAAAAAGTTTTTTGTGATTGGGGTGATTGTTACAGTGTGGTTAATATGGATGCATGAGCCAACAATGCCAAATTCGAAGAGGTTGCAAATTGCTAGTGTATGAAAGAAATGTTGCGAAATACTAGTTTGTAGAATGCAGAGATTTTGGATTGCTGGTATGTACAATGCAATTGTACTTAATGAAGCTAGTAATTGTGTTGACTTTGGATCTTTGAAAATGTTAATTATGAGTTCTGCTGTTGACTAATCAATTAATTTGACAAGACAATAGCCCATTCCAATGATTAAGTAGTGAATGGCAAATAAAAGAGTCATTGCATTGGATCAGAATTGGTTGTATTACAATAGGTGGACAAAAGGTATGTTTGACTCCCACAAAATGGCAACAAAAAGCTATTACATTTTCCTGCCCAATGATCTAAAAAAGATTTACAAAAAGACTACAAAAGTTATTTAACAGTTTATCATTAAGTTGCACGTCCTCTTCCAAATGATCTTCCTGCCCAATTTCCAACCTTGAATGGTGGTTCTTTTCCCAAATATGCATAATTGGCATTGATCGCACCCTTTTCGGCATCCGTCAATTTTCTCTTTTTTTGGACCACCCTTTTCTGCGTATTATCAGTAGATGCAGCCGGACGAGGATCTTTTTGACTTGTTGTTGTTCTGGGAGCATCTGGTCGAGTTCGCCGGACCTGATCACAAAAACCAAATAACATTTCACTCAGTTATTCCAAGAACTACAATTACAATATACAATAGTTAGAAAGGTTGATAGCTAACAGGGGTCTTTATCTTTCTAATTTGCCTCTTATTAGTTGGACTGGCAATCATCCTCAACATCTCTGTTGGATTACTAGTGTCACCTTCGGCAGCAACATTTGCTCCTTCCATTGATTGTTGTGCACCTTCTAAAGTTGATGGCTGAACAGCAATATTATCATATTGTTGGAAAAATTGCCAACTTCAACGTCAACATTTTCAGCATTCTGTTCACCAGATTC